AACTATTTTTCCAGTAAAGATAGAGCTAAACAAAACTGAAATTAGTTACTGAGAGGTAACCCTACATGCAGGAGCATATTTATTCCATCAAAGCATTCACATTTACTGCTACGGAAATATCCCTACCCCTATACTGCATATGTAATAGTAGTATAAGTAATACTGTATATAGTAATATTAGAAGAGCCCATTTTTGAAAAGACCTCCAATATTGCTTTTGGTGCGGTTGGTGCAGGCAGACACATGAACAGACAGACAGACAGATACCTGCTCCTGAAAACCATCCGTGCTCTTCTGGCCTTTAGTCTGCAACAGGCAGCGAGCGCTCTGAGGCCGTGGGTTGGTGTGGGTGGTCATAACGACCTGGTTGCTATGGCCCATGCCCTGGTTGACATGGTACTGAGGATTGGTAGCGGGCTGATGGGAGGTGTGAGAGGTATGGGGGTTGTACTGGGGTTGGTTTCCGGATTGGGACAGGGCCATAGGCAGACCACCGCTGGGGTAGGCCTGTCCAGGGGCTGTATGGAGAAAAACAGGCTGGTAGCATCTAACTCTAAAACAAAGCTTCTAAAATAGATATGTGTACATGCTGTTAATGTGAGGCACATGGATTACTGCTGCTAATCAAAATTTCTACATTCTTGCTTAAAAAGGTCTCCTTGTGAACATTTATAAATAGAAATAAAATGATTTTATTGCTAATACCCTGGGACATGTTGCCTTGGTACTGTCCCGGCCCCCCAGACGGAACCACTGACAGCTGCATCCCTTGGTTGTATTGGCCTCCTTTGTTCATCATCCCATCGTAGCCCTGCTGACCCACCACACGATGAGGTGTAGTGGCCGAGGAGGAGGAAGAGGAAGTGACGATCATGGTGTTGTGTGATTGATGGGAAGGGTTGTGGGAATGGGCGCTCTGTGGAAGGAGAGCGGGAATACATGTAACGTGTGATTAAGAGTAATTGCACAAATAGTTATCTTTATCATCGAGAAGATGCTCAGCATAAAAACAGAGATGAGATGCTTCACTGAGACGTGAACAGATCTCACCTTTTTTAACAGGTTGTCAGGTGGGACGTCCCTCCTGCCTAGTGAATAGGGAGCCCACTGGTTGCTTCCTGACACCCCTTCCTGGTCATTGTCCAGCACGCCACCCTGCTGAGACGGGGTCTGAAAGAGACAAAGTGGTCATTACTGACAATGAACATTAAACTCTAGCTACCCCAGTCATGTCTTCCCATTATCTCCTGGAGTTTCAGACAGTTCATCTGAGATTCAGTTGGAAGAACGAACAGAGCTGGAACAGATTTTTCTCCTTCGAGATGAAGTCATGTTAGGCGGTGATAAAACCTGTGATATCGTGCTCAACACGAACAGATTGTTTTTATGATTCCCCCTTTTTTCCACACCAAAAGCCCCCCTAAAAACCCGCTTAAATGAGAGGAGTTTTTCAGAAAAAACCTTGAAAAAGTGTAACACAAAATGCTAATGGAGTCTAAGTAAAATGCCCTTCAAAATAAAAGTAACACATTTCAACAGGCGTTAATTTT